TGTAATTGGGACCCACGGTGTGGGTCACGCCGCACTCAACGTGTTAACCGTTTTCAGATTGGCTCGTCGAAGTTGAAGTTTAATCACCAAACGTTATAAAGTGTGTCCAAAATATACGGTCGTACATTTGAATAGAGTTTCTGGTCGAAACATGGACTGAAAATAGAAAACGGACAAAGCCGGACACGTCCGCGGACGGATGTGTGAGGGAAACGTAAGACGCCGTGGTGTGAGAGTCCATGAGCAAGCCCAAGTATAACCAGAAAAAAAGTCTCGTTGAGAACACCCACCCTGTAAACTTAAGATACTTTTTACAGTACGATAAAAAATTTGCCTTACCTTTGATCTCTTGCTGTCTGCTAGTGACGGCATATTTCTCCTGAAGTCCGAGTCCTTGAAATAAAAGAAAAAGGTACATTAATAAAGGGACAAATATTTCTTCTGATTGTTTACTTCTTAGAGAATGCCACATAGGTAACGCACGAACACGTCCATGCGTTTTTATTTTCGTGTACAGCAGTGCGAGTGCGTCTGTTCGTCGGGTCCTGGTCCCCTTGTCATGTAGAGGCAGCGGCCTGGCCTCCACCTTGTCATTGGTCCTTTTTTTTCCTCGTCTATTTCTGACCGGGTCCGACGTAAGAACACACCCCCGCTCCGGGGGCGTAAGTGTAACCAACAACTGCAAGCCTCCCACGCGCCTGTCATCATCTTACTTGTGCGAATAAGAAGCGGTGGGAGGGGGGAGGGGCGAGGCGACGACGCCGACACAAGAGCTGCACTGTGGAAGACGGTTTCCTAACCTCCTCCGGGTGGATGTACCCGTTTAAGTGGACACGATGGAATTTTCATTTGCGACGTGTCCGCCGCCGCATCCGGCAGTAATAGCAGCAGGGGCAGCGGCGGGGACAGGCGCGAGGATGCGGGGGTGGGCTGCGGGAGGGGATGGGGGTAGCGAGGAGTATTCCCATAATGCTCAGCCTCATGACCCAGTCCCCGTGATTATAAGCATGGCCTTTTGCACGTACGCCCCTATGATGAGGTGGTTTATGTATCGAGCATTCCACTAATTGTGCAAATGAAGACATCCTTGTCGCGAAATAAAGGAAGTGGTGTCGTCCGCCTTACTGATGGCTGCGCCACCCTCACATGGCCGGGGGTGGGGGTGGCCCCCGTCCGCCAGAGACCTCTTGGGCTGGCCTGCGGACAGTCTCGTCGCCCCCTCCGCACGGTCCAGCAGCAGCACCGGACGAGTGAGTAGCCAGAGAGGGCCAGAGTCTCACAATCATCATAATCATTCTATATAATCACCCCCGTGTGTGTCGCACCGTCGTGCCAGGACAAAAACTAGTGTGTGTGTGTGTGTGTGTGTGTGTGTGTGTGATTCTGCTGAAGACATGAGAAATACGCTATGTGAAGTACATACATTATCAGTAAGAATTATCGTGCAACAGCCAACGAAAATTCGTGTGTTGCAACGCAAATTTAGACCCCTATCCAGGGAATGTAGAATTTGCTCATGCTTCCCTATCGTGCATAGAAAAATATCTAAAACTACTACATGCTCTTGTCACTTTCGATTAAGAATTAGTGCGGTAAATTTCCGACCACGTTCAAAATTTTCAACAGCTAAACAGGAGTCAAATGTCCTCATTTATAAATATACTTCAATTTACGAACTAGTCATTGGGAATTGTTCCCAACGAATATTTTCACGGTGTACCCCGATACAGCAAGTGTCGAGACACACCACTTTCAAGTGTTCAATTTAAACTGTTTGAATACCAGTAAATGTTCAACGCGGTACTTGTGCATTTACAAGTATCCAACTAGATAGTTGAACACACAGAAGTGTTTAACGGTTCAACTGATAAACACTTCCTTCCACTGTGAAAATCATCTTCTTAGATTTACAATTTTTTGACATTTTCTAAAAGATGTTGTAAATTTACGACATAGCATTATTACTCGTTAATAAAGTCCAAGTCGGTATACCTAGTTCTTGTAATTTGTATTAGACGCACCCTGTCAGGGAAGTCCTCAACAGAAGAGTTCGACACTTACAAGTGAACAACAATCTACAATCTAGTTCGATCTAGTTGGGCACTTGCAAATATGCACAACTACCGTGTTGAACACTTAGTGGTCGTTTCATTTGAACAAGGCGACCGCACCCTAACGTTACGCAATACGCTACGGCAGCAGCGAGAAGGACAAGGTCTAAGCAGACAGGGAGTGGTGGTGCGTGGGGATGGGGTGGTGGCGGAGCCCACTAGATGAGTCTGCCTGTAGGGGGTAATCTACACGACCCACCGCACAAAACAACAGTAAACGCACTGACCAAGACCAAGAAAGGTCTTGTCGTGTCATGTGAAATGTTTGCCTAAAGGTGTTCGGTTCCAGGTGGAATTTTTTTTTCGAGTTTTAACAGAAAATGCGTCGCGCAGTTGATGTCAAGCTCGGTACAGAAATTCCACCTGAGAACCAGTACATTCCCACAATTCAAGTGCGGGACAAGTGTGTTGATGTGTTGATGCTATTACAACCCTTGCAAGGGTGTGGGAGAGTTCTTATTTTTCATTCAAAAGTATGTGATGGTGATGTTCCAGCAGTTTCCTTCGTGAGCCTCGTACGGTATGATGGAAATGACTGTAACCAAGTGAAGTGGTTGGAGAGAGTTGCGAGTCCCACTGCCAATTTGGTCTTTAAAAAAGTTAAATTTATTCTTGCAACTTAATATCTGTTTATAACTAAACATAGTTTTAATGCGCTTACAAGATGACGGAGGCGGTTCAACTGCAAAAAATTCTTAGATCTACAGCAAGAGATCGCACGGCTCATAAAAGAGCAATGGGCCATTCCGGTCAATTGATACGACCTACAAAAATATCGCCATCGCCTCACACAAACGGCTCCCGGAACGAGCCAGAGCGGAAGGCATGTTTGACCTCACCCAAAAGTGGAGCAACGTGGTACAAATAAGAAAAGTCTGTCATTGTATTCAACGCACAATTAGTACCTTTGGTTACACAAGCGACTTCGGGCCAGTACCAGGAATTCACTAAATTTTACTAAAAGAGTGTTTGCATTTGTATATTTTGTTTCATAATTTAATGAGTTCACACTTATGACGATGGGTGAACGTTTCTTAATGGAGTGCATTGCAGATTGCGTGATTGCAGTAATTGCACCAGCGCATGTAGCCGGGATAGTCGACCGTTAACACTAGCGGCAGCTAGAGGGGAAAAACAGCAGAAAAAAAGTTATGTAAATTGTATTGAAGGAATTGTTTCTAACCCCGAGCATCTCATCGATCGGCGTTATTTCTAAGGAAAGATTAGACGAGGAGTGGTCAGTAAATACTTGTCGACTGAGCCGCCAAGTTAACATGAACGGACTCCGAGGGAGGCTTGTCCTGAGGCGATGAGGCCCAGGACCAGTAAAGTCAGGAACAATCGGCGTTGCACACAAACGAAGCATTGTCTGGTCTGAGGTGACGTTTACCTCAGCGACGCCACCCCGTGGCCACGCGGGAGACGGTTGGGGACGTTATATTCTCGACGTTACCTCGCGTTGCTTCGATGACCCTAGCGTTAGGAATGTTCATATGTGTGGAAGTAGCAGGCGCAGGCGCAGGCGCAGTCTAAGGAAGGTCCACCTAGAAAAATGAGAAGTTGTCACAGCCGTCGTTTGGTTACTTCAGAGGGACAACTATATAGTGATGGTTGAGGTAACGTTAAAATTGTTCTGAAAACGAAAATATAATTCCGACAACTGAAGGATTGTTAATTTTTTAAACCATATTATAGCTGTTCTTGAAGTAACCACACGATGGTTGATACAACTTTCCTTTTTTCTGGGTGTCCACACTAATAAAAGCTAACAGTGATTTTCAGCGTGAGCTACAGTGAATTATGCAGAAAGGTGAATCCTTAGGGCAGCCACCACCCCCAAAAATCTCCTCTGGTGCGCAGAAGGCATACTGACTATAGTGTTCTATCAGTAATACTCATGAATTCCTCTTTGAATCTTGGATTTTTTTTATTAGTAATATATATTGAACGAAACTGTGCGGAATAATTGACAAATTGATAAGTAATTCCTGCTGTATAGAATTCTAAAGTTTTAACGGGAAATAAAATCAGCATAGGTCTAAGAGTGTGCCAAACTTTCCCTCTTTTAGTCAACTGATGAATGGTTCAAATTTCCTAAGCACCGCGGCGTGGAATTCTTTTCACCGCTCTATAATGGCGGGAAAATCAAACAGTGGCGAGTGGCAAGCGGCTACAGGCCGCTGGAGCGGCGTTTTCCAAACCGGCTCCTTCGATTATAAACGAATTAATTGTTCTGGGCGTGTGAATACTATGTCTTCTAAACGGCCATCAGCAACACCGACGGGCGGGCTCCTTCCTTTCCCCTTCTCTCTCGCACCTGTGTATATTAAGCAGGTCAGACACAACGGCCAGTCAGACTGAGACAGAGTACATGTCAGTCTAATGGAGCAAGTGAGAGACGAGGCCTGACGTCAAGTCTGCAAATAAAAGGCATCGAAGTGCGCCCTGATTGGTCGGGGTGGAGGTGGTGCCCAGCCTGTCATTGGCTGTCGGATCTGCAAGGCGCTGCTCCACTGAGAGAAATAGTGTACCTCTCCGGAGAATTATTACTCGTGGGGGTAATGTTCAGTAAAATAAATAGAAAAAAATATTTCTGAAACGTGCTTTGTATGGCTTACCAAAGTAAGGGCAGAAGTGAAGTTAATTTTCGCAGGGCCGTGCAGGCGCCGTGCAGTCTGAGAGGCAAAACCAGGCAAATCGGCGAACTAGATCATGACTGGTCGTGACGTCACCCGTGACGAGCCGCCCCGCCATTGGGCAGAGGTGCGCTCACCGGGCGGTAACGCGTTTAGAGCGCCCCGGGCGCCGCGCCCCACCGAGCCACCGTGCTGCCACTACTCGTTCTGATTGGATGCATGGCAATACTGACTGGCGAGGGGAGGGGGGGACATGTGGAGCATGTGCAAATAAAAAGGAAAAACACTGGAAAAACGAAGGTTGGACACAAAGGCATTAGAAATTACACCCCTACGAAGATAATCAAACGGCCCAAAGGTCCTGAGTTTTATAATGATTTTGGACAATATCGTGCCTTTACAAATGCATTAAAATTATCACTCCGATGGAGACGTTAAGTCCTACCATTTTGTTTGAGTGAAAAATTAAAGTAGGTACTTTTTTTTATTCTTTGAAATTTTTCATCAGCGTACACTTTGACAAGTTTCTATACTGATGGACAAAATACATCGATAATTACGGAGCTGCTGTACTGACAGAGAGATCACGTTGCCAGTTTTTATAGCGCCTTATACTTTTAACGTGATACATTGGTTACTCTTTTGT